TGGGGTGTGTAAATGATTGCCTTGGATGAGTGAGCTGCTGTTCGATTAGAGGCGAGCTTACTGGCTTGCATCTTTGCTGCTATCACAACAGCTCCTCTGGCTGTATGTGCCGTTGTATGTGTCAGCAGCATGACAAACAATCATGCAATCTTAAAATCTACCCCCACCCCGCCCCAGAGCTGCCACTGCACCAGGATGGGCTCCACAGACGGCCACCTGCAGGCTGTGGGCTTCTTGTTCATGGATGCTCAAAGCCAGCATTGCTGCTCCTTGGGAACTTGCCCCATCTCGGAGGAAGCACACCAAGGCTCCCACATTTGTTGCACTATGCACCCCTGCCTTGGCTTTTTCTCTCTATGCCATGGACAAATCTTGTCCCTGGATACTGGAAAGTTAGGAGGCCTGAAACAGTTTTCTCTTTCTGGAATTTGGGGTTTTTGTTTGTTTGTTTGTTTGGGTTTTTCGAGACAGGGTTTCTCTGTATTGTTTTGGAGGCTGTCCTGGAACTCTCTCTGTAGACCAGGCTAGCCTCGAACTCACAGAGATCCTCCTGCCTCTGCCTCCCAAGTGCTGGGATTAAAGGCGTGCACCACCAACTCCCGGCCAGAATTTGGGTTTTACACTCTTGGGATCTCCTGATCCTAGAGGAAGGGAGTTGGCTTGATTACAGGAAAGTAGGAAGAGAAAGACCAGGTACTGAGACCCTCACTTACTCCCTGTCCTTCCTGTTGTAGCGGAGTTCACAGGGCCCCCACAGAAGCCACCACGGCTTGGTGCGCAGGTACGTATTGGGGTTACAACTACCAAAAACCATAGACCTGGAATGCCTTTGGAGATAATCCAGTCCAGTGCCATTGTTGTAGAGAAGCCCCAGACAGCAGATATAAATTGCCTAAGGCCTTATAGCTGACTCATGGCAAAATGTGAAAGGAACCAGTTTTATTTAGCTCCCGGTCTCTTCCCTGACCGGAAACGGTCTCATTGGTTCAGCCTAGTATCAGGAGTATCAGAGCCTCTCGTCTTCCTGAGCCCTTCCCAGGATTACAGCATCCTACTGTCTACTGGTTTTCACAGTTCCAGAACGTGTATTCTCAGTGTCAGCTTCCCACAAAAGTGACCTGAAACATGTTAAAACAGTGCGGACCCAAAGGCCGATGGTGCTTAGACTGAGCTGGTATGACTGTGGGTTTTGTTAGCACACCAACATTTGGTTTGGGTCCCCCAGTTGGAGAATGATGACCACAGAGGCAGAAAGAGGAGCTCTACCCCTAGGACAGAGTGTTGTTGCAAAGCAGAGGTCTTTCCACTGGTTGATAGCTATGCATTCCCAGGAATGAATAATAGCGATGAGGGGTCCTTCTGCCCCCCCACGAGCCACTGGCCATCCACTCCTCCCTTTCAGTCCATTCAGCCCACAGCCAACCTGGACAGGACTGATGACCCCGTGTACCACAATGTCATGGCACTGGTGGAAGCCGTGCTGGAACTCAAGAACAGACTAAGCCAGCTGCCCCCTGAGGACTACGTGGTGGTGGTCAAGGTGACGTATTGGGTGTGGGTGGGTCAGGAAGATAGGGGCTGCCCAGCCTGACCCTGGAAGGACAACTGCTGTGTCCCCACTCCTTGGCCAGTCCCACAGACCCCAGAGGAACAAGGGAACCTGGGGAACCCAACCCTAGGAGCATCTTTCTCCAAAAGCAAGTGTGGCAGCTGCTCTGTTCTTGCTCTCCTAGAACGTGGGACTGAACCTGCGGAAGCTCATCGGTAGTGTGGACGATCTCTTGCCCTCCTTGCCATCGTCTTCTAGAACAGAGGTGAGTGTCTCATTCCCAGTCATGCCTCCTGTGCCTCCTCCTGTCCCCAGCTCACCGGGGCCACCTGGGCAGCCTTATTTCTCCCGACAGATGTCTCTGCAGAGCACAGAGCAGTTAGCACCAGAGGACTGAGCCTGCTCTGGGACCTAGTGAAAATCCCAGACCAGGTCTCAAATAGTCTCAATGGCTATATGCAAGGAGGAGCACACCTCCCTCCCCCCCCCACCATCCCTTACCTAGTAACTGTCTGCACTTCGGTTAAGGTAGATATGCCATAGATAGCAAACTACTGCTGAAGTCAAGGACAGGTCCTGGTTCTCTCTAATGGAATGATGCCTGTGGCAGGCAGAGGGTTGTACCAAAAGTGGTGGCCTACACGCAGAGTATCTTACATGGCAAAAAGCTTTATTGAACGGATGAAATTAAGGGTCCCCAGAAAGAGAGGATATGATGGATTGCTCAGGGGGAGGGGCTCAGAATCAGAGATGAGGGAGTATGAGGACACCAGCTGAAGTTGGAGGGATACCTGTGCCGGAAGTGGCCACAGCTAATGAAGGTGTAATCTCGAATCTGCAAAAAGCAAGGAATTCTCCCCTCTACTCTTAACAGGAACATAGCTCTGTTGATGACCCTAGCGCCCTCACCCCCCACCCCATGGGACTCATTTCAGAACTCTGACTTCCAGGACTGTTCAATAATGAACGTGCAAAGTTTGCACTGCTATGTTCCTGTAGCCATGGGCAACAGATCAGTTTCTTGTCTAGAAAAATGAATGCGTTGATGCCTTGACTCCTAGTGGTCCTCCGTGTGGCTCATCCTATCAAGTGATCTCTACTGCTTGTGGTTGCCCAAGGAAAAACAGAACAAGGGCAGGACTGGCTATCCCCTGGGTGGCAACAGTGACCTACTAAGGAGTCCCAGCAGGGCAGGTGTCACCCAAGGGCCAAGATGACTCCTGAGAACCTGGACAGTTCATTGGGTGAATTTACCAGTGCAGCTCTGGGAGGGTTTGGCACGGCAAATTTATTTGCTCGTTCAGTTCATCAAAGAGGTAGCTTTAGTGCTGTGTATCCGTCAGGCTAAGCACCAGTGACACAAGGGTTAAATAAGTAAATATGGGCTCTTGCTTCTTTACTTGACAACAGACAGTTAAAGCATAGGTGTGCTAGTTACTTTTCTCATTGCTGTGGCAAAATCCTGCAGGAAGATGTTTTTCTGGCTCATCGTGGTAGGGAAGTCATGGGGGAAGCAGTGTGAGGTGACTGTTCACATTGCAGCTATAATCAGGAAGATGAAAACGGTGAATGCTGGCGCTCAGCGCACTTTCTCCCATTTATTCCTTCCAAGACCTCAGCCCGTGGAATGCGCCACCATATTATCATGGGTCTTTCCACCTCAATTACTCGTACCTAGAAACTCCCTCAGAGACGCGCCCAGTGGTTTGTTTCCATGGTCACTCTAAATGCCATCAATTTGACAATCAAGATTACCCATCAAAGGCCGGGTGTTGGTGGCGCACGCCTTTAATCCCAGCACTCGGGAGGCAGAGGCAGGAGGATCTCTGTGAGTTTGAAGCCAGCCTGGTCTACAGAACCAGTTCCAGGACAACCTCCAAAACAACACAGAGAAGCCCTGTCTTGAAAAACAAACAAAGGTTATCCATCGAAGCAGGTGAATGTGTTTGACCTCTCACCAGTGTTCAGGATTGTTCCTGTGAAGGAAGACACTATCTGGTTCAGTCAGACATGGCTGGTACATGGTCGACTGCTGCATTGATCTTTGTAGATCAATTCCAGCCTGTGCAGAGGGGTAGATTCAGCCCAGGCTTGGGAGTAACTGGCCCCCAGGGATCTTCTGATATCTTAGCCAGCACCCATTCTGACCCATCACTCATTCAACCTCTCCTGTGTGCTTGCCCACCAGATTGAAGGGACCCAGAAACTGCTCAACAAAGACCTGGCAGAGCTCATCAACAAGATGAGGTTGGCTCAGCAGAACGCCGTGACATCCCTGAGTGAGGACTGCAAGCGGCAGATGCTCACAGCCTCCCACACCCTGGCTGTGGATGCCAAGAACCTGCTGGATGCTGTGGACCAAGCCAAGGTTCTGGCCAATCTGGCCCACCCACCTGCAGAGTGATCGAGGGAGGGGCTACCTGCCTGCATCTTCTGCCCCAACCTGCCATGGCGTACCTTTCCTGCCTTGCCTTTGGTTATTGGTCTTCTTGGGAAGGCTGAGAAGAGTCCTCCCCTCGCCACTTTGCACGACTTCCCCCCTCCCCACCCCACCCCAGACTTGTGCTACTCAGGCTGCATCTGGACAGAGAAGACCCTGGGCACAGACACAGGGTGGGGCGACATAGTTCTTAGGGGTACTGCTGCCAGCCACTCCCTCCTACTCCAGCCTGGGTACTGGAGTATCATTGGGGTCACGGTTGTACCCCTACCAGCATGGACACTTGAAAGCCAGGATTCCTCCTCCTCTTTATCCCTCGAGGGACCCCTGATGCAGAGGGGACAAAGGGGCATTATTTGTAGAGAGGCTGGTGAGAGGAGGGCTGCACCTGGCTCTCTTGTACAGTGTACATTGGAATTTATTTAATGTGAGTTTGGCCTGGACGGAGAGCCTTGGGCCACAGTCCAGGAAAACCCGTCTGGCCGCAGGGCTCTGTGTTTTTATCAAACCCAGCGCCTCCGGGAAGAAGCAGAGAGTTGGAGGTCAGAACAGGACTTTGTGCCCTTCCTGCTCTTCTCCTCTCCCTCTTTTCTTCTCCCCTCTTTCCCCCTCCTCTTTTTGTCTTCCCCCTTTTCACATCTGCTCCTTCCCTTCCTCATATGTTTGTGGAGAACATTCATTTGCCTCCCTCCTTTTTGATCCGTGATTGAATTAAAATCATCACCATTTGCTTTGTGGCTAGCTTGACTTCGTCGTTTATTTGACCTTCTCTTTGAGGAGAGAAGCTGACCTGGGACCACAGCCCATGAGAAATGTGTGGTGGCTTCCTGTCCCTTGTCCCACGTAGTCAGTAGTGGCACCTCATCCAAAAGGCAGCTTTCCAAAAAGACATGGTATAGTTCCCTCTCCGGGACATTCCTCCCCTGACCCCAAACCATCTGTGCACTGGAGGGGACTAAATGGCGCCAAGGAGCAGCTGGGGTGGCTGGCAGGAAGGCTCGACACTTAAGATGGACCATCTCAGCTTTATTTCACCACGTCAACTCACATGTAAGGCGACGGGAGACGTGGGCAAGCATGCGACATTCATCTCCCCATCAGGAAACCACGTCTGAGGGCTTGGAACAGAGGGAGGGGAGGCTGAAGGTTGCAGTCACTGGAGGAGGGAGGAGCCAAGACCTGAATTGGTGACTGAGTCCTGGGGACACATAGGAACAGATACCAGGGAGTCTGGGTGAGGCCTTTGGTAAGCACGTTTCCCTAGGTCTGTCAAGGTGCTGGGGGGGGGTTTCATAAGGAGAGCACCCTAAGACAGAGACACCAGAAGCTTGCCCTGCTCTGCTTCCTGCCTTGGTCTCTACATCTGTTAGCAATCCACAATGCCATTGCTGTTGGCTTCTGAGGACAGACTCCTCAGGGGCTGGACAATGTTCTGAGAGGCCTGATCCCTGGGCTCCTATGCAGCCTTCTGAGAGGCCCGGTCCCCTGGGCTCCTATGCAGTGGAGGGTCTTGCAATGTTACAAGAGCAAGAACATGCTGCACAGGACAGGCAGGCTAGCCACCTGATGAGACTGTGGGAAGGTTGGGGGAGAAACCTCCCTGAGGATTGGATGTTATGCAGCAGGTTCTGGGGCCTCTGGGCTCATTTCTTTCCATGACTCAGAACAAATGGTCCAGGTGCTGAGTTCTGTCACCCAGTGTGAGGCCGGGCTGGGGAGAAATCAAAAGCGGAGACTCTACCCTGAAGGAGAAAATGCAGTGTAAAGAGCTTGGGGTAAGAGCTCTCAGTTCCTATGCAAGGCATGCTCACAGAGCAGGGAATCGGTGACCAGGGCCTGTGGGTACCACCAGTGGCTATGCCTTCTTAGCGTGCCCGCTGATGATCTGAAGGTGACACTGACCCCTGGCAGCAATTACTGGACCTCTTTGCAGTGCAGAACATTGAGACACCGTGCTGAGGGCAACCTGGAGGCTCAAAGGTGCTTTCAGATGAATAATGGCCCAGATGCTCCCACCCAACTCCGCAACATCCCTCTGTCCCAAGCACCCATCAGGACATCCAGACTGGTGCCTCTCAACCTTTCCAATGCTGCGACCCTTTAGCATAGCCCCTTATGTTGTGGTGACTCCCAACCGTAAAATTGCTTCATTGCTCCTTCATAACAGTAATTTTGCTACTGTCAGCAAACGTAATACAAAGATCTGATATGCAGGACGTCTGGTATGTGAAAGGGGTTGAGACCCTCAGGTTGGGAAGTTTCGTGCTACCTCCTGGAAATATGCTTGTCCTGCTGATATTGCCTCACATGGAGACAGGTTCAGAGAAGATCCTGAACTTCTTCCTAGGTCTGGATTAAAGATTCCCCAGCTACCACCCCCACCCCGTTGTCCTCTCTGACACTCTGAATTCAAAGTGCTATTCAGGGCTCTCCTGCCCCAGGCACTCCCTCTACCCCCATGTGCCCATCTTTGGGGGGGATATGTATTTCTCTTTGACCTGGTCTGGCCTCTCTGTCCCTTTGTATGATTCTCTGGTTGCATACGGTTCCTATTGCTCTTTAAGGACTATCCTGTTCTCCCTGGTGTCACCACCATATTGTCACCTTTTGCAGAGCAAATGGCTTCACCCTTTCTAGTTCCTCAGCATCCCTAACAGGTATCACGTTGGGTGAACTCAGAGGTGGCACAACAATGTCACTGTGAGCTGTCCCAAGGAGGATTTGAAGTCCAGACTAGTTTGGGGGCCTCAGAGAAACACTGCAGGCAGATGGTATTGACCCAGAAGAACATTCTAGAGATGGCTCCAGTTAGAGAAGACCAGAAAATAGTTGTCAAGGCCACCTTGAAGCCAACACGGGGGACATGAAATCAGATCATTCCAGCTAAAAATGGAGGGAGGAAGAGCCCGATGGTCCCCAGGAAGCAGACGATAATGAACAGCCAGAGGAATATCCGGTCTACCACCATGGCCACGTACTTCCAATCTTCCTTCACCTGAAATCACAATTGTTTACAGTAACAAAAGCCTGGCTGTAGGGAGAGGAGGTGTCCCTCCCATGTGCAGCCCCTGGAGGCAGCAGTCACCAGCCTACTGAAGGCTTGGGAAACCGAGGTTATCCTAGGCAGAGATGGGTGGAGGGAGAAACAGGCTTACTCAGGGCTGGCACATCCCCGAGAGTCCTATTCTATCTTTCCCTATATCCGTGTGCTCCCAGGTGTAGGAGTCCGGAGGGACAGGAGGAGGTGCTAAGGCCACCAAGAAGGCATGGACCCTCCAAATCAGAAGAATTTAAATGTAACTCACAGTAGTTATGTAGTTGACAAATACCATGCTACCTCCCCACCCACCTGCAGGGAACAGACAGGCTTGTGGCCCAGGGCAGGTCAGTGTGGAAGGGCTGGGGCCCGTGGTTCTTCCACTCATAGGTCAGGGCAGAGGAGCTAAATTCTTAGACATTGACAAATGAATGATTAATGCTAGCATCTACTCAATAAGGTGCCCCATAGTAAGCTCAGGCCTTTCACCCCTCGCTTGGTTGGTGAGGGGATGGGCAGGTTCTGAACACTAAGTACTATATGCAGCACTGGAGAGGGGAGCCCACCCTGGCTCAGCTGAGAATCTACAGGGCTTATGAGTGAATAGGGAAAGGTCACAAAATTCTCAGAACCCAGATGGAGGAGACCTTGTACCACAGGGGCATGTGGAGACCAGTGATGCATTGTGTCTGTACTGTTTGTGCTCCGTTTCTATCTCTGCAGACAGTGATCTCTCGCTCCCTGCCCTGCCCCTACCTCCTCCTGAGAAAGGCTGGCCAGCAAGAGCTAAAGCAGAGGGAGGTCAACATCTGAGCTCCCAGTCTCTAGTCACTCTTTCCCAGTTAGGTTGAGCAGAGGACGATGGGTCTTGTAGTATTCCGCCATAGCCCAGGAAGTGACCAAATAACTTCCAGGTTGAGTGCATCTTTGGTGATTGAGTCCAGACTCCTCAGACACAACTGAGGGAGGCCAGTCCTTACAGGAAGGGAAGGGGTTATCCAAGCTGACACCCTGGGGAGGGATTCTTCCCTGCTAAACTGGCAGAATCACCCACGGGGTGAACCCTCCCTCAGCCCAACTCACCGAAGTGTCGGCATCCTCAGACCTCAGGTGGTCAGCAATGTAGTGTACACCTTCTAGTGCTTTCTGTATCTGAGGAGACAGCATGATCTCACTCTCCTGTGATGGAGCCTTGGCTCCAGGCCCCAGGGCCCTCAGATGCAGGCTGCTGTGGCCATAGAGGACACCCCTGGAGGATTCTGCGAGGCCTGCACACATACATACATTTTCATCCTCCTCCTCCTCTCCCTCTGTCTCCTCCCTTTCTTCAGCATCCGTGTTGGTCTCCAGCCAGTGATAAGTAGGGCCGAGCTTCAGACCCGCAGAGCCACGGAGCTCCGTAGGCGGCAGGGGCCGGTTCATCATCAGCCACCGGGGCACACGGCCTAGCAGGGCCACCCTCACCCACTTGGGCATGTTATGGGTGCCGGGGGTGCGGTGGTGTACATTGAGCACGAAGACGGTGATGACAATGGAGAGGGTGACGAAGATCATGGTGAAGAGCAGGTACTCGCCGATGAGCGGGATGACCAGCGAGGTGGACGGGATGATCTCCGTGATGAGCAGGAGGAAGACGGTGAGTGAGAGCAGCACCGAGATGCACAGCGTGATCTTCTCTCCACACTCAGACGGCAGGTAGAAGACCAGCACGGTGAGGCAGGAGATGAGCAGGCAGGGGATGATGAGGTTGATGGTGTAAAACAGCGGCAGCCGGCGGATGACGAAGTAGTAGGTGACATCGGGGTAGATCTCCGCGCAGCAGTCGTACTTCTTACTGTTGTAGGTTCCGGTGGCGTCGATAATGGCCCACTCACCACTTTCCCAGTAATCCTTCAGGTCCACCGTCTGCTCCATCTGCTCCAAGTCAATCTTGGCCTTGTCGTACGTCCAGGAGCCAAACTTCATCTTGCAGTTCTGCTGGTCAAAGGGGAAGAAGGTCACGTCGATGCTGCAGGAGCTCTTGTAGATGGCCGGGGGCACCCAGTGCACAGTGCCCGTGAAGAAGACATGGGCCTTGGTCATGTGGGTCACCGCAAACTCGCCATCTGCACTAGGAGAGGAGACAAGCTGGGGTCCTGCGTACCGGCCTCCTCCAGGAAACTGGCAGCAGAGCAACTGGGTAAACAAGTCAGCCATTGACTGGCTCGGTAGGGCTATTCATGAAGCGTGTGAATCTGCTGCAGACAGATGTATCCTGAGCTGTCTTTTCAAGTACCACTGTTTTAACTGCAGAAGTAAAAATTTTGAAGAACTAAAAATAGCCATTATTGCCGTTTTGACATTATACTTACATATCTGACTGCTATAAAGAATTTTCAATTTTATAGATTTTGAATCATAGGACATTTTAAATCTGATCCCCTATTTTTATTCATTTAGTATGCTGAAGTTTTGGGGGAGTTTGTTGTTTTATAAGATGGTCTTACTGTGTAGCACAGTCAGGTCATCCCAATTTGCTAGCTAGATTTGGACTTATGATCTTCCCGCCTCAGTATCCTGAATTCTGGGGATTACAGGTGTGCTCCACTGCACCTGACTAGCCCCTCACTAGCCATTGGGAAGTCAGCTCCCATGGGGAGGATCCTGGCTTTTGCACCCAGGTTTTTGTTCCTTTCCAGAAACCTATCATTTTTGGCTAATAAAGAAACTCCTTGTAGCTTCTGCATTTAGCACAGTGTTTGCGGCCAGTTTTATCTACCAGGGCCTGTACCTGCAGGATGTAAGATGTGATCCCTGCCCTATGAGACAAATTCACATGACATCACCATACAGCAGGACATTTGTTTTAATTTCTATTTATTTTTATTGGTGTTTTGCATGCATGTATGTCTGCGTCAGAGTGGAACTGGCATTATAGACAGCAGCGAGCCCGGAACTGGACCCGGGTCCTCTGGAAGAGCATTCAGTGCTCTTAACGGCTGAGCCATCTCCCCAGCCCCACAGTAGGACATTTGCAAAGCCCCTGAGACCCTGAGACCTGGAGGCACTTCTGTCTGGGCTGAGCAGGGTCGTTGTGAAAGCTGTCATTTAATAGGCTTGACTTGTCACTGGCAGTAAAAGGGAATAAAAGCAGAAGGGCTCAGAGAAAGAGACTGGCAGGTAGGGCTTCAGTCTGAAGTGTATTCTAGTCTTTAAACTCCATCCCTAATTCCTACGTTCAACCCCTACCTGTAGTGATAATTTTGGTCATTTCATGTAACTACCACTAGATGGCACCAGGCTCCCATTTGGGGAAAGAAAGTATATGATGCCATTGACCTTTTGCCTATTAACCCGGAGGAGGGGAGCACACACTTTAAATGCCTGAAGCTGTTTGGACCAGTCTTTGCTCTGTCAGAAGAACTTCATCCTGCAATCAGGGATCAGTGACCAACCGCTTAGTGGCAATCTTAAAACTCAGATGTGTCTGTCGATAGGACTTTGCTCTTGATCTCTGTCACCAGAAACAGAAACTAGAAAGAGCCTAGGTGCCAGCTCAGGGCACAGAGACAGGGTGTGGGGGCTGGGGTGGCATGGCTCTGTGTCAACAGCAAACAGCAGCTTCCTGGGGGTTAGACTGCCCGGTGGGGGGTGGAGGGTGGTGACTATACTGTTGAGAGTTATGTGATCCTACCACCAAGAACCTTCCATGCCTATTCTATTTCAAGAAAGTAGCAGTGTCCCCCAGAGACCTGCTTAGAAAGTATATCAATATCAACGGGAAACACTGCCATTGTTTAACTGCTAATGTCTGGGCTTCCAGTGAAACCTTACCCAAGCAAAAAGAAATGAACAGGTCTCAGTTTCTTTTATGAGAAAATGTGTGTGTGTGTGAGAGAGAGAGAGACTGTGTATGTATGCATGCATGTTTCTATATGTGTGTATGAGTGTGTGTGTGGTATGTGTACACGTGTGGAGGTGCTGGTGCACATGTATACGTGTGTGTGTGTGTGTGTGTGTGTGTGTGTGTAGCACGCATACAAGTGTGGGTGCTGGTGCATATTTGAGTGTGTATAGACCTGAGGTTGACATCAAGTGTCTTTCCTTGTTTCCTTGATTGCGTTCCAATCTTCTGTTTTGCTTTGTTTTGTTTTATGTTTTTTTGAGACAGGGTTTCTCTGTATAACCCTGGCACACTCTTGGAAATCACTCTGACTGGCCTTGAACTCAGAGATCCACTTGTCTGTGCTTCCTGAGTGCTGGAATTAAAGGCATGTGCCCCTACTGCCCAGCCCATTATATTTCATGAGACAGGATCTCAAGAATCTTAGGCTTTCCATTTGGGCTAAACTGAGTGGCCAGTGAGCTTCTAGGATCCACACACTCACACATTCACACACATTCTCTCTCTCTCTTTCTCTCTCTCTCTCTCTCTCTCTTGCACACACACACTCTTACTCTCACACACACTCACACATTCACACACATACATTCACACACACACTCTCTCACACACACACACACACACACACACACACACACACAGCCATTCCCAGCTTTTACATGGCTGCTGAAGATTCAAATTTAGATCTTCTTGCTTGCACAAGGGCTCTTACTGAGCCATGTGCCCACCCCGAAATATGTTTTAATTAATGAATGGCTTCTTACTTGTTGTAGAGGACAATGTCTGGGATCCAGATCATCTCTGAAGGAACCCGGAGGGAGGTGATGTTGCCAAACTCAGCTGGGTCCCAGCGTAGTTTGTAGTCATTCCACTCCTGCTCAGGGAAGTGGTTATATCAGGGCGCTGGAGCATTAACAACCTCAAGATAATCTGAACTGAGCTTTGGGACTCAGAGGTACCCAAGTCCCTCCCCTAGCCACACAGAATTAGAAGAGGCATGGGAACCAGGCAAACCATCTCTGATAGCCATTCTGGTTTTCTCTGACTTTGGTAGCCAAAATCCCAGGATGCCAGCACCAGCACATTGTCACCCCAGCCCTGCCTCTGGGCCTTGTTCTGACACTCCCCACCTCATGAATATGCAGTCACTCGTTTTCAATGCAGGGCCTGCCAGAGCTGGACAGTGAAGCAAGGAGCTTACCCGGGACCTTCAGACTATGCTTGGGCGACCTCCCTATCTAGGATCCCTAGCAGGAAGAGAATGCTCTACGTCCCCACTATGCTTCCACAAGAGTAGCTCCAAGTGGATTTTAAAAACAGATTTGTTTTGGTTGGTTGTTGCTCACTTCTAGAAAGAATAGTCACTTGGTGAGAGGGTGACAATGACATTGCAGTAAGAGCCTGGTCATACAAAACCAGCCTTTGAGGCGAGCATCCCGCATTACCTCACACCTAAGTGACTACTGATCATGCCTGTGAATTCAGCATCTTGCTGCTCCATGATCCCTCAATAGCAAGGGTCCTTGAAGGGGCTGGGGACTGGGGACAAACCTGTCAGCTCCTACAAGGGAAGGCTCACCTGCTTTAGCCAGACATTGGTGGTCATCATTTGATTCTTCTCATCCTGGGGTAGCAGAGATAGAGAGTAACAGCAGTCGGGGTGACTGACAAATCAACCCAGAAAACAGAGTGCATAGGAGGCGCATTTGGAACCCACTCACAGGACACCCAAGCCCAGACTCCTCTCCTGACTCAGCCAGCAACACTCAGATTCCTCAGGGTCACCTGGGACATGTAAGGGGGGGGGGACTTTGGACATGTGTTTTAGAAAACTTTCTTCTGACATCCCATATTCCTGGGGGCTCGAAGGCTGGGGAAGGCAGGCACCATGGCAACCCAACCAGGTAACTACAAGCTGTATCCAGGGTGGGCTCTGATGACTGCCAGGAGAAGGGGTGAGCCCAACCCAGGGATTACCATGAGAAAAGTGAGGTGGGCTGGGGGCTGATCAAGGGAACACAGGGTGAAAGGGAAGACCCACCACATCTATAAGCTGGGCAATTGATAATCCAAAGCGCACGATGACCACATCAGAGGTATTGGGCACTGGCCGTGCCCAGCGATTGTAGCTTCCAAACAGGTGTTTGAACAGCCGGTCCTCAGCCTGGGTGTGCAAGCTTCTTTGGGCCAACACTGTGAGACAGGAATAGAAGAGAAAAAGAGTCCGCGTGAGGCCAAGGAGGTGAGCCTGTGGCTTCCTTTCTGTCTCCCATTAAAGCAGAGACACTCAACATCATGTAGCCTTGGTATGGGGATGCAAATAGGAAGTACATCTCATACCCCATTGGGGACTCCATAGATTAATGCATATTAGCACTCAACACAGCCCCAAGGATTCCATACAAGCATCATTCCCTTACAGTACCTTTCTAATTTCAAGAGTCAGGGAGTTAGAGCTTCCACAGCCAAGTAAGAAAGCTCAGACCTAGAAACCAATCTCAGCCAGAACCAAAGAGCCCCAAGAGGGATGGGAGTGTGGGGGTGACTGAGAAGGGCTTCACCCAATGCTGGGAGTCTGGGTGATGGTGGGATTTTTTTCCTTTCCATTCACTCTTCCAACAAAATCCTTATGCCCATGAGAACATCTTCTCCCATGCAGGGCACCACCTTGAGTTCTTAAATCACCAGCTCTGACTAGTTCTCATCAGCTAGGCAAAGCTCTGCAAAACTGTCTGCTGGAAGTTATCATGTCCTTTCCACTGTGTTTTTGCATAATAGCCTCCCCATTCTGGGACTCCACTGCCTGAGAAGGCAACAAACCACCTCACAAAACAAACAAACAAACATACAAACAAAACCCCGACAACCACTGGGACAGAGAGTCCAGCAATGTCCACAGTCACCGTGTGTGTTCAGCAATGTCCACAGTCACCGTGTGTGTTCCCACATGTCTGCCCCAGCCTGTTTGCTAGGTGCAAGTTTCCTTCATCCCCACAGTAATCTTGAGTGTTCCATGATGCTATTTGCATTTTTGTAGACAAGAATATTGAAAAGCTTGGAGAATTCAAGGTGACAAAGCTTCTAGTGCCAGAGTTGAGATAGCCCCTTGTCTTAGCCCTGTAGTACTGGCCACCCAGCCAATGACCTTGAATGTTCCCTGTAGTGTTCCAGGTGGAGTGAACTGACCTTCTGGAAAGCCCAGCATGTGGTCTGTGGGCACATAGAAGTAAGATGAAGTCCTAGTGATGGTGGTGGCACCCACTCACCTGCTGGCATCAAAAGGAGACACCAGAAACAGAGATGTATCCAGGATTGGAGAGCAGGATGGGCTGGGGTCATAGCTTCAGAGGGTCCTGGTCTCCGTTGGACCACTAGGAACTGGTTTCTGCGAGGTCTGTCTCTCCTCTGCAACGGAATAAGCCACAGGACATACAGAGTCTTTGTTTTTCATATTCCATGAAGGTTTGAAAGCAGAGCAAATGGCTGTCCACAGGCCTGCCTGGAGTGCGGGGCTCCTTGGCTGCTCTGCTTCACAGAGGAGCAGCTTTCTTCTCTTTTCCAGAGTCATTCAATTGCTGACAAGCTAGGACATGACCGTCCTTCACAGAGGAAGGTGCCACATTCTTTCCACAATGACCCCAACTCTTCATCCACAAAGTGGGGCTAGCCATATGCAAATGGCAGTCAGTGGAAGAATATGGCTACTAGTGACAAGGACCCAAAGATGCAGGCAGCCAAATGCTCCTCAGCGATGAACAACTGAGCAAAGGGTGACACAGCTAAATGACAGAATACAATGAAGGAATACAAAGGAATCAAGTGCCAACATGGCATTTGTGATTGGTGGGACAAATTTGAAAAACATGGTACATGAAAGAAGCCAGACACACACTGCAGGAGTTCGTTGATGGGTGCATTCTGGACCAGGAGACTCTGGAAACATGATGCAGATGAGTGAGGGGAAAGGAATGGGAATGACTGCTGATGATCAGTGGGCTGTCTTTGGGGTGGGGTATGGAGATGGAGATGGTTCTGGAATGACACAGTGGTGATAGTTACACAAGTCTGTGAATATAATAAAATTGGCCAACTCTTGTGCTTTAAATGAATGAATTATGTTTCAGAAGAGCTGCTATTTAAAAATGCTCTTGGCTGCTGGGCGTTGGTGGCGCACGCCTTTAATCCCAGCACTCGGGAGGCAGAGGCAGGCGGATCTCTGTGAGTTCGAGGCCAGGCTGGACCGACAGCCTCCAAAACAGAGAAACCCTGTCTCGTAAAACTAAAAAACAAAAAATGCTCTTGGTTGGCAAGATGTGGCCATCCTTTATAGATTATGGGGGGGGAGGCGGTAAACATGGAGCTGATGCAAGAAGCTCCTGGGGTTGAGAAAGACAGAAACTCATGATGGTTAAAAATGTCCTACACAGCTCTCTTTCCCTCTCTCTTTCTTGCTGTTCCCCTGGGTCAGATAGGACTTTTCCTGTCTCCTCTTCTCTTCTGTCCTCTCTCTGTCTCTGTGTCTCTTTACCTCTTTCCTCTTTCCTTCCCCCCTTTCCCTTTGTAATAAAACTTCTCACTTAGAGAAAAAAGTCTCAACCTAAGATAATGAATTATTTTGCACAGCACAGGGCTCAGTCACTTGACTGCAATGGTACTGAGTATCGCCTTTAAAAGTTTACATATCGAGGGGCTGAGGAGATGGATAGATCGGTAAAGTGCTTGCCTTGAAAGCACGAGGACCTGAGTTTGAGCCCCAGAACCTACCCTAAAAAGCTGGGTGTGGGGATGTACTTGTAATCCCAGCACAGGGGAGGTAAAGACAGGTGACCTCTGGGAATTTCTGGTCACCCATCCAAACTTAATCAGAAAGCCCTGGTCCCAGTGAGAGACCTTATCTCAAAAATAAAATAAATTAAAAGGTGACAATGCCTGAAGAACATCTGAGGCTGTCCTTTGGTCTCTAAACATATATGCATACATGTGTACCTACACACATATGTAGTTGGAAGTTTTTCTTTGTTTGTCTGAAACTATTGAATCAATTTCTCTCCCACCCACTGGTCCCTGCAGCCACTTATTAAATAATCATTCTGAGGTGTAATATTAATTATAATTGTCTGACCATTGGCTCTGGCATATTACTGACTAGCTCTCACAACTAAATTAACCCATTTCTGTTACTCTATATTTTACCATGAGGATCATGGCTTGTTACCTCACATCTTGCTTCCCTGGAGGCCATATGGCCTCTCCCTGACTCCTCCTTCTTTCTCTCCATATCTTTGTTTGAATTTCCCACCTGGCCCTATTCTTCCTGGCCATTGTTACAGATCAGCTTTATTTATCCATCAATAAAAGCAACACATATTCGAAGCATACAGAAGGTCATCCCACATGACACATGTGCCCCATCACACACACACACACACATACACACACACACAGAGTTTATATATGTAAATGTCCATGTGCAGTACCATGTGTATATTGCCTACAGATAGAACACATCTTAGACAGACAAGGGGTTTCCTTTTGACAGTGGTGAGAGTGTACTGGGATATTCTGGAATGTTTTTGGGATGGTGATCGTGCACAGCATTCTTAAAGCCCTGAATGCCTCTATAGTTGATATTATATTGTACATAATTAACTATGGCTTCAAATTCTTGACTAAGGAAGTGCTTTAAACATAGAAGTGGCCACATCCATGCAGGAATCAGAACGGTTACCAAGGGAGCTGTGAAGCTACTGCTCTCTGGTCCTCATCCTCTGGTCTATCCTGTCCCATCCCAGCAGCCAGCAGAGTCTAACATCACCACCAGCAAGCTGCAGCCTTTCCTCCACACTGCCATCACTCTGCATTGTGCTCCCTACCCCATTCGGAGTCTGAAACAAGACTCTGAGTCCTGGCCATGTCACTAACACCATTGACAGTTCAGCTTATCTGTAAGATAGCTGGAACCTCCCAGAACAGGTACATAGTCCAGTGGGGTCACGGGTGTCCATGTGTGAACTCCAGAACATGAAGAGGAGGGCCAGGCATTGGACTGCTGCTGTGATGGTCAATGCTCTGTGACCCAGCGGCAATACTAAGTGGCTGTGCCAAGTAGGGAAAGAGTGAGTGGGGGAGCGTCAACATGCTGCGGTTTCCGGAAAATATTTCCTATTATGATTGGCAGTGCCAGGGTGTGTTTAGGGGAAAGCTCCCCCTGCATCGATCTTCACAAAAGGTTTCAATTCAGAGACTCATTAAAAATTGAGATTTTTTTGGCCCCTGACCCAGTCCCTTCCCACTCCACATCCAACCTCTTCACCCAGTCAGATCCTGCAGACTTCCTCCAGGGTGGAGCTGGTAAATGCAGTCCTCACACCTAATCAAGGAAATTCCCTTTGCAGCATCTAGAGACCATCCAGTGGTCCCAGTCAACACATTTGTAACTATCTCCTGCACCAGAAGCTCCAGATCAAGGTGAATGAGGGTAGGAAGATTTAACAGCCAGAGGAATAGGGGTTTGCCGTGAGATATGTCTCCTAGAAATATCAGAAACTACACTCAGGAAATCTCATCAACATGGTTACCAACACATGAGCTGAACAAGGATGACCACAATAGACATGATAACATGGGTTAGGAAAGCCCATGAAGCCACATCCCTATACAAAAAGATACAGACAACTAAGTAATGTTGAGAGCTGGAGAAATACTCTTCCCCAGGGAAGAGTACACCAACTAGTTATCCAATACCAAGTGGCTGGCCCTGAAAACGTAGATACAAGTAGCATTATACAGACTAAGCAGGTTGTATTTATGTATATAGGAATGTATATAATATATATCAACAATTTTAAAAAAGAGGCCATGAATTTTAAAAAGAGCAAAGGGGGGCTCATTGGACGGTTTGGAGTGAGAAAAGAGAAAGCAGAAGTGATGTGATTAAATTATCATCCTGAAAAGATATTTTTAAAAAGTTGACATTTTCATTTATCCCGTTCCCTTGGTAGAACACCACTCTGGTCACTGGTTTCTTTTATGCCGGTGCTATGCTGCACACAGTATGACCACACCTCTCTCTGCTTCGTTCTGGTTCTCTTAAAGGCGCCTGGCTTTGTCCTGAGCCCTCACCAAATGTCCCAGTGATCAGATAGAAAAGGCCAGCGATTTCCAAAGGTGTCAGCTCTGGAAACCCCTTCCTAAACAGCGCCCCAACAGGGAAGTAACAGTAAGACCTGCTGTGGGAAGCAGCCCTCACGCCTGGCACCATCCTAGGCCACCTCTGGAGTGGCAGCAGCCTTGTCCTGGGCCTGCTCCTCCAGCCCCCGATTATGCATGTGTCTGCTTGTGTGTGTACCCTCATGAAGCCTCACATCACCCCTGGGGGGAGGGTCTGGAAGAAGCACACCAATGTCTCCTGTGTATAATCACAAGGCTGCTGCTCAGAGGGGTTGACACCCTAGTCACCAGAGCTTAAAAATGATAAAACTGCGAGCAAATTCAAGCTCTCCCCTTCTAAATTACATGATGATGGCACCAACCACATGGGTGACTATGTAAGAGCTCAGTCAATACTTGACTGTGTGCAACACTGACTGACACTATGACCAGCATTGCCAGGCTACCATCAAGACTAGGTCTATGAGAGATGAGGTGTTCGTTCCCAAGCTGGGCTTACCTGGATCCAAAGTTCTAGAATGTTCCTCTGCATGTAGGTCACTGACTCTTCCTTTCACATGATACCAAAGCTGCAAATTCCAAGATGACAGTCTGAGTGTATCACACAGAGAAAAGATCTGCTTCCTCCTATTAATGAGGCCAGAGGTACGGGCATGGGGAAGTCGTATTGTTTGGAGATCCAGGGAGAGATATCTGTTCAGGGCTGTCAGGAGCAATGTGCAAATGAGAGCAATTGGCTCCAGAGGATGTGTGTTTGAGTTGCCTCAGATTCCCACCTTTTGCAATTAGCCCACTGTGATCATTTCATTAATTTGTCACCGGAAACCAAAAGGAGAAATTGTTCCAGGTAATCAGCAGTAATTAGAGTAACCTTCCACCATTCGTTACAAAGATATTTAAAGGGAAAGTCTCTGGACCGGGAGCCCCGGCATCACTGGTTTAGCAGTTTTGGGATAAAGATGACAGTGGAGTGATGCCACTACATGTCACATCTGGGTAAATGATGTCTACGCAAGCAAACGAACACACAAACAAAAAGTATTCTGGGAGTAAAGGGCTCAGGTGTGAACGCTCCCTTTGGGGTGATGCTCACCAGGGTCAGCACACTCTCCATAGCTGCAACATCTTTACAGCCTTGCTTTCTACCTAGGCTCAGCTCCACTGAAGCCAGTGCAACTCGGACCCTGTCCACTGCCCACCTTCCTCCTGCAGCTGCACCTCAGCCGCTCACTCATCAGAACGCAGTCCCCCCCTTTCCAGAAGCACTCCCTCTTCCCCCAGACATGCTTAGGTCTCCCTCCCAAGTGCCATCCAGAAACCCCTCATGCAACACCACACAGGCAGTCCCCATTCACCAGAGACCCCCCAGATTAGAGGAGTTGTTGCCGATTGTTCATTTTTCCAAATAACACCCTCTGTTGTGCTCCTGGGATGGAGAGCGTGCTCTCTGCTTCCGTGGCTTCTCTGCTCATTACAGGAGCTTAACCTCTCAAGGTCAGGTGGAGTCTTGAAGGTCATGCACCTTCATCAGCTGATGCAGTACCCAGTCTACTAACTCCAGCCTTGATCCTCACAAGCCATGAGGGCTTGCTACCTTTCACGTCAGTAAGTCCTCCTGGTGTCTGTTGGTCTAATTTGCCTAAGTGTGTAGAACGTTCACTGAGTGAATAAATGAAGGAACAAGAGAATGGTAGTAATGAGGACACAGGAGTAGACAGTGCTGCTGCTATACAGAAGCAGCCACAGTCACTCAGAAGTGCTGCTTTCGCAGTTTTCTGAAGGGGTCCATAGGGGTCCACCAGGAGGCTGAATCCTGCCCAGTAGCAGGTAACTACTAGCATTCTGACGTGACCAGTTCCTAAGTGCTCATGGGTTGCCAACTTCCTTCTGAGCTCACACTCAGTCTCCCCAACATGCTCAGCACCTCTAGACTAAGCCTTAGGGATAGCTTGCTTACTTACCTGTGGTCCTAGAAGACATGCCACTCAATGCATGCAGGGAACCAGCCGGCTGGGAGACCGTGGGTTGCTGACGAGGGTCCCTTGGAAGCAGAGTGACAGGTGCAGAATGGAGCTCAGCTGCTTCAGCTCGTGGTTGCATAGGTGCAGAACCTGGAGGGTTTAAGAGGCACTGATGGCATGAGGGACTCAGACTAGCTTCCTGGAGGTGGATGATCTCTCAACAGAGTGGTCAGTTTTTCAGGGACTGTGCCGCTCCAGGAGACAAAGAAGGCTTCATGTAGGTGCCACTGAAGAGGCTCTCTTGGAGAGCCAACAGCTCTGGGGCTTCCTCAGGTGAAGTTCAAGCCTGCTGGTCCCGGGAGAGACCACTGGTAAAGCAAGAAAGCAGACTCATATTGAGCTCTTATACTGTGTTCTCTCTCTCTCTCTCTCTCTCTCTCTCTCTCTCTCTCTCTCTCTCTCTCTCTCTCTCTCTCTCTCTCTCTCCCTCCTTCTCTCTCTCTTCCTCTCCCTCCCTCTCTCTCTCCCTCTCTCTCTCTCTCTCTCTCTCTCTCTCTCTCTCTCTCTCTCACACACACACACACACACAGGAGGGAGAAGGAGTCTATGACTATTTACTTTGTGTCCAGCACAGACAAATGCAACCCTGGCTTCAGTTCAGCCAGTTAGTTCAATGACTTGCTCCCAGAACTGAATAACCCTAGGCTCCAGGTCTGTCACCTGGAGTGTCCATGAATCCCTGAACACACCTCCGATGCAGTCCTTCAAAATTGTGAGTTTATCTGTCATAACAATGTACAGTTGTCAGCAAAATATGAAAATATGAATGAGCCATGGAACACCCAGCTGACAGTGTCCTCTGTCCTACAGTTGCTGTCATCCTTTGTTACCTACAAGACACCCACCCCCCACCCCCCACCCCCACCCTGACTACTATCTGAGGATGCCAGGGGTAGACCCTGCCTGCTTTGGCTTCAGACATGTTCTTCTCACCCTCCTTGCTGGTGATTTCTATCTTCTAGAGATGCCAAGTTGTCAAATCTACAATCTGACCTCCAGTGCCTTTCCAGTGTGTAGATTATCACAGCCAGGGTTGTCACCCGGGTGCCTGTGATTTCCACAGCACTCCCATACCTGTAGTATACCCCAAGACTCCTCATGCCTTCACCTTCCCTCCCTCAGCCCCTCCCACCCCAGTAACTCCAAGCTCTGCCTTCCCCCATTGAACTGCTCATTCTCTCAGCTTTCTGACTTGGATGGGCCTGGGCTGCTGAGCTCAATTTCCAGTTCTTCTCAGTCATGACTTTGTGACCTCAGGCAAGTCTCAAAAGGTGGTTGTGCCTCAGTTTCTTCCCAAGCAGAGGAGGGTGGGTATGAATGATGGTGTCTAAAGCTGTAGGCTTTCTATAAGGAGTGCACAAGTTTAGGCACTGTGAGTTGCTTCCAAGAGTGAGAGTGTCTGTGATGTTTGTACAAACACAAACATTGGCATGCATTATATTTATTGGTGAGCATTTGATTGCTAAAATCAGGAAACGTATTCTCACTAACCATGATTTAAAATGCTACTGCATTTTGGTACATACAGAAATGAAGCTAGCTGCATGCATTCTCCATCTAGAAACTGGAAGGTATGAAGGAGAGGGAGAATAAAGAAACAGAGATGGAGGGAAGGAGGAAGAGATGGAGGGAGGAAGAAAGGAGGCAGAGGGAGGGACGGAAGGAGAAAAAGAAAGTATCAGATTATATCTGTCAAGATTCTTGGCTATAAGCAATAGAAACAACCATCATTTAAGTAAAACAGACGATAAAGTCAATGGGCAGCTCAGAGTAGCACTTACAAAACTGGAGGACTTGCCTGGAGGTCAGGAGGGAACACAGGAGGCAGCAGCTCCAGCTCAGCCCGGAGCAGCCCAGCCCGGAGCAGCCCCTTGCCTGTGTGGTGGGTCATTCCGCAGAGCCGGGCATCAGAACCCAAAGCGTCTCTGGTACTGCTTTTTCAGCTGTTCCTGGAAATCAGCCATTGCTGCTGCTGCTGCGGCTGCTGCCACAATCAATTCTCCTCCCTCCCTGGCTATTCGTGTCACTGGCTTCTCACACAAAGGTCAGGATGAATGCATCCGATTAACTATGTGCCCATGAACTGTATGTGAGGAAGGCTGACGAGGCAGGAGTCTGTACTGAGGGCTCTTGGGTAGAAGGTGAGCTTTGTGTGTTCAACAGCGAAGAGGGGCTTATAAACTACTCAAAAGGAGTAAAATTCTGGGAGGGCCCTTTACCCCTTTGTGTGGAGACACACACAGCCTTCCACAGCCACATGTCAAAAACCACTCAGCCCTACTTGTTCGAAAAACTCACACTCAGAATTTGTTTGGCTTTAGTCTGGTCAGATACAGACCACCATCAAAACAGCACCTTATACTCACAGATCCCTGCACACAAGAGGCACGGTGTGCCACACAGAGTAGCACAGGAGGGTGCCGGAGTAGGCAGGAAGGAGGAGAAGGAGGTGAGAAAGTCCTTGATATGCGAGACCCCTGCCCCCGCCCCTTCTAGATAGACTTGGGTTTTGAGGAGTGGTTGTTTGTTTTCTGATTGTTTTTGTTCTATAAGACAGTATCTCACTATGTAGCCCTGGGTGGCCTGGAACCCATAGAGATCTACCTGCCTCTCTTCTGCCTCTGGAGTGTGTGTGAGTGTGTGTGTGTGTGTGTGTGTGAGAGAGAGAGAGAGAGAGAGAGAGAGAGAGAGAGAGAGAGAGAGAGAGAGAGAGAGAGAGAGAGAGAGAGAGAGTGTGTGTGTGTGTCTTCGGGAGGTATCTTGAATGCTCATTACTGTCGGAGGATCCACCCCACTCACTGTAGGTGGCACCATATCCCAGGCAGGTGGTGATTATGATCTGTATAAGAAAACCGAGTCCAAGCCTGTCCCAGCCAGCAGGCAACATCTTCTATGTTTCTGCCGCGCATCTGTGGCTATGGAGTGAATTCCTTGGTCCAGATGTAATGAAGAACATGTTGAACTCCGAAAAACATCCTGCAGACAAACACAAGTGCTCATTCTAATCTTGGGGGTTTATTTTAGGGGGCAGCAAATTAGGCAGTAGCCACACGGCATCCATGGCACAGGGCAATGTGCTACAGGATCTCCACTCAGGAAAGGCACCACTTAATTAGGCTGAGTTTGGGCACAGTTTCTTGCAAGTCATTTATTCCTTGTGAAGGAGAACAGTCAGGCTGACTGGTGTACAGACCTGGAAAGTTAGTGAGAATAAGAACAGTCTTGGGTGAATAATCTCACAGCATCCTAAAGCTAAAAGTGTGGAATCCCAGGGCTTTATTCATGTAAATTACCCAATTGAGTACTGGTCTCTTTTTCTAGTTTGTTATTGATGACCTTATCTCCACAAAGCTTTCATTTCCTCTGTGCTCTATATTGTCTTAGATGGTTTGTAATCCTAGTGACCCCAAGGACATGGAATAGGTTTTACTCACTACTTTGAGTGGGAAGGGAACTCATCCCAAGGTCTCCCATTAGCAGATTGATGACTATAACATTCCATATACCACAGAATTTCTATTAGTCAGACTTCTGTTACTGCAATAACATACCTGAGGAAAACAGCATATAAGGAAGAAAGGTTAACTTTGGTTCACAGTCAGACCCTGGATGGCTAGTTGGTTAGCTTTGTTGCTTTGGAGCCTGTGGTGGAGGAAACTGCACATCAAACTGCACATCTCATGGAGTCTGGGAGGCAAAGAGAGAAGCAGGAAGGGGCTATGGTCCAATATTCTCTCCATGGGCACACTCCAGTTACCCAAGTCCCTTCTACTAGGCTCTACTTTTCAAAAGTTTCCATCCCTTCTCGGGACTCCCCTCCCCCTCCCCCAGGCTGAGGACCACGGTTTTAAAGCATTGACCTTGAAGGAACACTTACGCAGAGCATAACATTCCCTTAGCTCAAACCTCCATACCTGAAGTCCAAGGCACTTCTCACAGCTCCATTGGTGATCAGGACGTCTCCCAGTCTTGAGAGGGAAAGCCTCTCAGGCTCTTTCTGTGTTAGCAGGAAGGGAAGCAGGTAATACCAACAGAAAGCCAGTCTCCCATCACCCTACAGCTTCCTGCTATTGCATCTTCACAAAAACCATCAACATCATGTGTGGTCGTGTGTGGACGTGTGTGTGTGTGTGTGTGTGTGTGTGTGTGTGTGTGTGTGTGTGTGTGTGTGTGCCACAGCACTCACATAGGGATCAGAGGACCACTTTCAGGAGTCTCATTCACCATGTGGGTCCCAGATATTGAACTCATGTAGTCTGGCTTTGTGGCAAGCCCCTTTATCGGCTGAGCCATCTCACCAGTCCCATATGTAGCTGTTCAAACATACAGACTAACCCCAAAGTGATGGGGGATGCCCTTCTATGTGCTGTGAATATATGTTTGGCCAATGGACAGGCAGGATGTATCAGACAGGAAGTACAGGCAGGGCTACCAGAATTCCGGGAGAGGAACACAGAGGGTGATTCCCAAGAGAGACACCATGTAGCTGCTGAGGAAGCAAGAGGCCTGGGCATTCTCCAGTAAGCCAAGACCAAATAAATGGAGATACGTAGATTATTAGAAATGGGTTAATAATTAAGAGAGAACTAGCCTGGATTCTTAGCTCTTGAAACCCATTGTCGCTTAGATGTCCAATGCTAATTAAAATTCCTTTTTGCTTTTAAGTTAAAATCACCAATGCCTTGAGGGATTTCTTAGAAAATGTAGTATTGGATGTTAACTTTCACAGTTCTGAACACTGTTAGTATCTATCTGGCAAGTATTTGAGAAATCAATGGAAAGCTAAATATCCTAAATTTAACACAAATATGCTTCTTTTTGATTAAGAAAATAAAATCAGATTTTTCAAAGTAAAAAAAAGAGAGAGAGAGAGAGAAAGAGCTAGCCAATAAAAAAGTCTGAGCCATCGGCCAAGCGGTTTATAATTAATATAAGCCTCTATGCATTTATTTGTGATTAAACAGCCCCATAAGGGGCGAGACAGAAACTTCTGTCTACACCAAAGCTTTAGAAACCCCTCCCATTGTTCCCTAAACACCAGCCAAACCTTCCAGGTCCGAGAGCACAGGAATCTGTGCATACATACTTACCTGGCCATGGGAAAAAGCAAGCAGAATCTTGTAGATTTGGGGGCTATATTGTGCCTCCTCAGAACCTGTCTGCTGGGGCATGAGGGGATCTGATGATGGCTCAGGTCTGGAGGCAGGAAGGGGCAGTGAATGGGAAGATGGCCATGGATACCCTTCAGGCAAGATGGTTATGGGTTTTCCAGCTAGGGCTGATAGAAGCGGCGTTCCGCACTGAGCATCATTCTTCATAGCAATCTCCCTAGCACT